CCGAATACTGAAGACGAAGCCCGAAGAGTGAAGACGAAGCCCGAAGAGTGAAGACGAAGCCCGAAGAGTGAAGACGAAGCCCGAAGAGTGAAGACGAAGCCCGAAGAGTGAAGACGAAGCCCGAAGTGTGAAGACGAAGCCCGAAGTGTGAAGACAACGCCCAAAAACTTAAGATGAAGACTGAAGGCGGAAGTCCGAATATCGGTCCTGAATCCCGAAGATTGAAGACGAAGCCCGAAGAGTGAATTCGACGCCCAAAAACTTAAGATGAAGGCTGAAGAGAGAAGACGACGCCTGAAAAGTAAAAATGAACCCCTGATGATTGGTGACAAAGCTCGAAGATTGAAGACGAAGCCCGAAGAATGAAGACGACGCCCGAAGAGTGAAGACGCAAGTTCGAAGATCAGCCTTGAGGCTCAAAGACTGAAAATGAAGCCCGAATACTAAATACGAAGGCCGAAGACTGAATATCAAGCCCGAAGAGTGAAAATGAAGAGAGGCGGAAGACCTAGAGTAAAAATAAGAATAGAAGAAGAAGAATCTCAGATTTCAGTCAACCTACTGTGATGAAGAATAACTCTCCTACATTTGAAGGTTAAAATAAGATTTAAGAAATGATTATTAATAAAGTGTTTTCTATTCATATTGTCTATTATTTTTATTCAGCAAACCCTATAACCTATACCCAAAAGTGTGTGGTAGTTTCAAAATTAGTTACGAACATAGCTAAATAAAGACTTGCGGCTTAGCTACAATGATTCGTATAGATATTGCAAACTAGCTGTCCGCGCAGAATTTAAAAAAACTTGATCGTTTTATATTTCATTTCTATAAATGGACTATCCAACAAAAAAGTTTTTTTTCCAATCGGACCAGTAGTTCCTGAGATTAGACAAACATGACATTAGTATAGATGAGTCTATTCTAGTTTCATGTAAATTGTGAAAATAAAAAAACAGTTTTTTTGACAGTAGTCGATACATTCAATTTATATTGCTGATAAAGCCAAAAATCCAAATCACAATTAGCTACCGAAGGACTTGAGGCGCTTTTTTAGCATGTTAGATAAAATAAGTTAGTTTGACATGCCTATAAAAACACCGAATTAATTTTGTATGACGATTAATGTTACACTTAATGGACGGTTGTCGTAGTGTCGAACCTTCGCGCACAACGAATAACTGAACTATCCTGAATCGGTCTTTTAACCAAATAAATCAAACAAATGAGTATCAAAATTAAGGTATAAAATAGCTTTTTGAATTTACTACAGTTATTTGCCTATATATCGCATAATTACAAAAAAATCTTTTATGTTCGTCAACACCGCACTTTTTGGTTTATTGGATATTGGTATTTCTTTATGTCGTTATGAAGGATAAACAGGAATAGAAAAAAACAATTTTATTTGTATTGTAATTCCAAATCAATAATCACAAAATCTTCGATTGCAAGTTTTATGATAACAACCATCTAATATCGAAAAAATTCTTAATCGATTTTACTCAACCCATATCTTAAATAGACACACTATATGGACTTATATACTCTGCACTACACTAGACAATACCTTACTACTCTTTGACTAAAGCGGAGGGTTGACTTTTCCAAATAAGATATGACCTAAAGGTCTATGTTACCAGGTAATAAAATTAAAAAATAAAAAAAAATAAAAAGTTGACTTGGTTTGACTTTGATTTGCTTGTTTCTGACAAGACAACCACTCTATAGTATACTTCAGGCACGCGAAACTCTATTAGTCTATGGTACAAATTGAACGCAAACGGAGATCCTCCATCTTGAAAATTGTGTCTATCCCACTCATAAGTTTCTCTATAATTTTTGGGCTGTTTAAAAAAAAAAAAC